ACGCGACCGTCTGATCCGTGGCGGCTACGACAACAACAACAACCAACCAACCAACCAACCAACCAACCAACCAACCACAACAACAACAACAAACCAACCAACCAACCAACCAACCAACCAACCAACCAACCAACCAACCAACCACAACAACAACAAGAAGAAGAAGAAGAACAAGAACAAGAACAAGAACAAGAACAACAAGAACAACAAGAACAACAAGGACAAGAACAAGAACAAGAACCAAACAAGAACAAGAACAACAAGAACAACAAGAAGAAGAACAAGAACAAGAAGAACAAGAACAAGAAGAACAAGAACAGGAAGCCAAATGATTCAACACCGTAGCCGCCACATCAAGACGACGACACATACTAGTCGTAAGAATCTCAACAATAGCAACTAGCGATGGTACAACTTAGAAGATACCGACCAGTCCAAAAAACTCCCAGATACATCCTGGCAGAAGTGGCAGCAGTCGCTTCGCCCGGAAGTCTCCAACCAAAGCGAATCAAGATTTCCAAAGGAGAACTCTCTATCCAAAGAAAACAAACAGGATGCCAAGCCTGGCAGATGCCTCGAGGAGCCCCGACCCCAACGTCCAATGTTGGGGGTTGTGTGGGTCTTGAACCTGTTTCCAGGATATCGAGGATTCAGCTACCCTGGAGGTCTCCCGCCTGTGGTTCGCCTCCGTGGAGTTCTTGTCGTCCCAGAAGTGCATCTTCTTGCCCTGACGGTCCCAACAACATCTCGCCGAAAGTGCGGAGCTAGGCCAGCTAGGCTCGAAGTTTTCCGGCTTCACGACATGAGGTACTGGACACCAAACAAGGCCAAAACTGTACCGAATCCGAAGTCTGGCAACATGATCGAAATCCAAGGAAGCTACGGGCTCAATCTGCAACCAGACCAGGTGTGGGAATTTGCTTTACAAATCTTTTTGGAAGCCTTCAAAAGCAGTTGCGCATCTGGGCTTCTGAGTTGATTCTGAACCTGAGAGCAGAACGGACAAAGACAGGGGGACGGAAGGGGCAGCAGTGCGTAGCAAATGCGAGCCAGTGCCAGTAAGCGAATGAGCATGATGCCGTGCTCCTTGTATGCTGTGTTGCGAACTCGTAGGCAAGCGGCTATCCAATCAAGCTTGATAGAGAAATTGAGCACATGCATTGTCATAAAACCGAAGCCTGTGCTGAACGGCAAAAAAAACCAAAGGTCGTCTGAAACCGTTCCTTTACCCTCCCAGAAGCTCGTCCATGCTGGTGCCTGGGGCTTGCCCTGGCCCTGCTGTCGCTTAGATCCCTGATAACCCCTGAACTCTCTTAATTTTTGACCCAGAACCAAACCTGCAAACAACAACTCCTGCAAGCTCCCAAGGAACTAGCTTTCGTGACTTATCTGAAACACTACCGACTGCCGTGGACACCCGACCTTGTCCGAAGCGCGGCTGTACTCGTAGCCGCCAGACTTCATCAGCGCCCCAAAATTGGGGATTCCTCTGAAGCGCTCTGCTGCTCGGCTTGTTTATGTCGTGTGTTTGCACACCATCTTACTACGATTAAAGCAGATGCTCGAGGAGTTCCATTCCAACTGTGCGCGGCTCAATGTTGTGGGCATCTTGACACAGTGAAACGATTAACAGCAGCAGATGCCACCGTGCCAGATGATCTCTTGGTTGCACTGGCACAGCAGGTTTTGTCTTTCGTGTGTCGAAGTGTCGCCATACAAACACCCAAAATCAGAAACTTTCAGTAGCGGCCTTCCAGCTCGTCGATGGAGATCTCACCGACCTTCTTGTAGGTGTAGGTGCAGTCAAAGGCACCGGTAGGCTCGTCGCCTTGGCCCGAGTAGAGGAAAGTCTTCTTCGCATGCTTAGTATGTTTGTAGCTCTGACGATGCTGAACAAGAAGAAGAACACGGTGATGATGATGATGATGATGACGACGACGAGGATCATGGCGCTGAGTGTGCTAGTGATGCCCATGGCGACAGCGTGGAGACAGTGCTCATGATGGTGATGATGCTGATGATGATGGTGATTGAAATGATGCGGATGATGACTGTGATGGTGAGGAGAACGATGCCAGTGGCTGGAGATGATGATGATGATGATAAGCATGATTACAAAAGTTGATCAGGCCAGGATAAGACGGTTGCAATTAGAAGGCTAGTCGTTGTTGCTCTTTATGTAATTCGCACATGTATTTGCCCCATCATCCACGCATGCCAATATGTATTTACCCTTTGCAAAACTTAAATGATTGAACTGCAGAGGCTTCGCACATGCAGATGCCACACACACACACACACACTCCTTGTGTCCGTCGTCACGTATGTGGCCATGACACCTTCCTTGCAGGCACCGCTTGGCTCTTTCCGCTCGCACTTGTGGGTCTTGCCCCAAAACCTCGTTTCACAGGGTCATTATGTATCGACCGGCAACTTGGTGCAACTCGTCAAAGCACCTGAGACGGTAGCATGGACCTACCAGAGCGTTGTGGCAAAACGAAGCCGGGGGCAGGGCTTTTGAGAAGAGCACGCACCCGGCAGGCTGTACCACATGGCATCTTGGCATGGAGAACAAGTGTGGGCTGTTCGGGCATGCTTCGAGAAGAGGCGCCGAAAGTGTGCTACGAGCAAGCTGGGCGGCTTCAGGCTCAAATAACTGAAACGGGGATCACAAAGCTCCATGCGACAGCGGTGCCAAACCTGAGTATGGTCTTTTCGCGTCTTTGCGCGTGACAGTCTGACAGGGAGTGAAGTACTTTTCGAAGGTGCCTCCACCAACACTCGCACGCCGCCATTCACTGAATGGATATGATAGTTTGGGAGCATGAACAGGCAGGACCCTAAACACGAGAAAGCTAGATGCCCAAAGCTCCGGCCATCGCACTTGTCCCCCGGTCCAACCACAACGACGGCTGAGGCGGCCACTGGGATACTTCACCACACCCATCCTCAGCATCTCGTCGGGCTCGGAGTTTCAGGTTCTCCGACCAGCTCACCACGACATTCGGTGCTGTTCTGCTTCGATTGTAGCTGCACCGAGCCCCCAAACCCATCACTCTAACGGCAGAAAAGTCCCATTGCGCAACGTCCTTCCTGAATCCAACATGCCTCTCGGGATATTCTTACCGAGAAGAAGTGGGGACGGTACCCTGTGAACCCTGAACCGCCAGCCTTGCCACACTGTCTTTGCATCCTTGAGCCTAACTGCGGAAGCCTAGTAGTATGATCTTGGGTGGCTTAAGCCTCTGCAGCACAATGTAGAGCCCAGGGTCCACTGCTTGTGCGGAAAGTGGTTGTCCGCACCCTTGTTCCAGGACTCGCAACCGACCTCAGGCAGACATGTCTCCAACACCTGCAGAACGTTCCCAAAACAAGAACTCAGGTACCAGCCACCGGGCCGAAATGATGAAGGTTCTCGCATCCAAAGGGGCCTCGCTTGTGTATCTTGAGAACAATGTTAGCAGAGCTTTGGTTCATATACCAGATACTCTTGCAGTGGGCATCTTATTCATGCCAATGCTGGTGACAACTACGTTGTAGGACAGAGTTTGAAAGAGCTTCTTAAGACGTCACTGCCGACGTGTCAACGATCGTTTTCAACGTCAGCCCGGACAGTTGCTCCTTGCACAGGTTTCTCCTGTTTCACTTCATCCAACCCAGACTTCGGTCCACAAAACGGAGCTAACAGAAACCATTCTCTCTGCGACGACTTTGACGAACGCGTGAAAAACCGACCGCCTGTCTCACCTTCCACTCTCGTGATGCACACCGACTGCGGCTTTTAACTGTGAGCGACCACCGGAATGAACCAAAAACCGTACCGCTAGTAACCCAGACATGGCTCTTTGAATGCTGCCCCCAGCGGCCCGTGCACTTGCCCAGGTCGTATGCATTGACCACACCAAAATTCCTCAATGTAGATGGTGAAAGCTGTGCGGAACCGTTGCGATGTCGGAACACTACTGGATCATAATCAAGTGTGCAGTCCTTGTGACGTACTGAAATGGGTCTACTCAAGGGTCGGTTGTTGACCACCATGTTGCGCAGATGCATTGATGCTCAACTTCTTTTGCTAGTTCTTCGGTAGCGGAAGGAAAGCTCATGAAAAAGGCTGTTGCAAGACTTGTGGATGCCAAATACCTTCAAATCGAAGTCGATAAATAGAAGCAGGCTTCGCCGAGCTCCACCGTGCATTCAAAGTGTGCCGGGCTCGCCCCATCTGGGATTCCCGTGTTTCCTGTCCCTAGCTGGCTAAGATGGAAGCGATCAATATCTGCAAATCTGCACAACATTAACGAAAATCAATCCTTGATAGCATGTCGGAGCATTGGCAATGATGTATCATCTACAATAGCAGGTACACACGCCATTCACACTTTCACATGATCGGCTACTCTGCGCTTGATACCGGGCATGGAATCTAGAACAGTCTTCTGCGATGCCGCTGCTCTTTATAAGTTCCCGCCGAGCTGCAAAGCACTGCAGCTAAACGTTGGTAGGACAAAAATACACCAGTCACCAAAACCATGCAGTTCCAAGCCACATGCCGAGACGGTGGAGCCTTGGCATCGACACAACTTTCCCGAAGCTGCTTCGACTCACAGGGCCAGCAAACGAATCGTCGTTCTCTGATACTGATGATCGTCACGACTTTGACAATTCCGATTCCTGGTGACTCCACTCTTTAGCCCCAACCCAGCTGAGATGAAAATAGGGGACGCCAGGGCCCTGTTAGGGCTCCGGCGCACAGGTCGCACGGGTTTTCACGCGATAGCGCTCGATGCGTGTCTTCGGGATGCTGGAAAAGCTGCCGACCTGGGCGTCGACTGAAGGCTGTGAGGGCTTAGGATTTTCAGGTCGAGGGTCGTGGTAGCGTAGTTGGACTCATACTTGAACAGGCACGAAAGCTGGAGAGTTGGGCCTGCGATGGCTTACTTGGGCTCCCTTCCTGCCCACGGCGGGGGCAGCCTTAACAGCGATTTGGGGAAGGTATCTCTCTCTCCCTGTCTCGGCTTCTCAGTTTCGAACGCGAAGGTAGTGGTGCCAGATAATCTCATTGTGCAAATACCACAGAACACCGCCTGCAACAGCTCAGCTCGTCGGAAGGCACGCTAAGAATAACTCTAGTTACATCATGGGCTCGGAGTCCCGGTGGAGCCTATGTTGGCCATGTCCTGATTCACGGGCGCATAGTCCTCGTCCGTCTGGGTGCGGTACCTCTCTCCGCCACAGAAGCTCACGGTTTTTCTGCATGGTTCAGACGATGCCAGGGACCCCCCAAGACTTTGAAGTTCAGCTCTCGTTTCCACTTTGCTGCACACGGTGTATGCTGGGGCACATGTAGAAGTCCTTCATGGGAGCTTCCGGACAACCTTCCTCAGCCTTCATGATCACGGAGGCTCGTCCTGGAGGGGACGTAAATTTCGCAAGACGGACTCTAACCAGTACTGAAGACAAGCGCAGAGTACACTTGGGCAACTTCACTGATTGTCTGGCTTTCCTATAAGACCAGCCAAACGACCGGGCAGCAAACATGCCAAAACCTACTTGACCAAAAATCCGTAAGCCAAGAGATAAACCAATGCTTCATGCTGGCCAAGTTCCTGACGCAAGAGCCACCTGAAACGTCAGCAGAGACCAGCTAGGGAACGAGTTTGACTTCAACACAAGGAGGAAACAAAGAATGAAGTAGTGCCACGGACCCAGTGTGAAGACAGGTAAATGCCTCCAGATTGTTTATGCCACCTCCGCCCCGTTGAAAAGCACATGTCATCTCACATGAGCTTTGACTCAATATCCGGAGTCCCAAAAGATGAGATGTAGACATGCGTTAATTCAGCCCCCATATGTTGTCACGGGACACTACAGACGGCATCCATGACTCAGGAAGAGCTCCTGTGCTCTCATCTTGCACGTAGCATTGGATAGACACAATGCCTTGTCACAGGGAACCCATACACACGCCGCAGCGAACCCGGAACTGTTTGGGCAAACACGGGCCCTTCTGCGCCTGCTGTGACCGCAAGGCACCGGATGTCGAAGTGGGACCCCTGCACACGTCATTAGCCAACCTGTCTATGTTGTATGTTGCCTGCCTGCCTGCCTGCCTGTGTCTGCCTGTAGGTGTATATGTATATTTATATTTATATTTATATTTATATTTATATTTATATTTATATATATATGTAAGTATGCATGCATGTATGTATGTACGTAGGTACGTATGTATACATGTATGTCACGTATGTATGGATGTATGTATGTATGTATGTGTGTGTATGTGTATGTGCGCGTGTATGCATGCATGCATGTACGTATGCATGTATAGCTGTGCGTATTTGTAGGCGTGGGGCACGTGCATGTGTGTACATATGTGTTTGTGTTTTATGTATTATACTGTTCTGAATCTGAACATGCACTTACACACATGCACGCACGCACACACACACACAAAAGAAGGTCTAAACATAAATGAATGTGTATGTATATATATATATATACAAACACCAACATAATATAGATGTATTTATTTATTTGTTGTATTTATGTATCTATTTATTTCTTTGTTTTCGTCATCTGTGCGTATGTATATCACATACATACATATATATATATATGTCTTCTTTTAATCTTCATGTAGTTCGATGCACAAGTCATGGTTTTTGCTCATTCATTCACTTACATGATTGAACGCAGTCATAAATATGCACATGTGGGTGTAAGTGTTTGGCTTGCTCTATATATGCTCGTAGGCACGTACTCATGTGCATGTAGTGTGCTATCTAAATGTGTGCGGATGCATGCATGTATGCATGTTCTAAGTTTATGTGAATAGTATCTGTGTGAGCGTATGTTTATGTTACGCACGGCCATGTCGCAGGCGCCCGTGCGGTTCGACAATGTCATTGCCTGCGCACTGTTATCTGTGAACATCCCCATGGCTGAGAAGATCATGATGACGATGATATTGACGATAGTAATGATAATGGTCACGAAGATGGTGACTGTCACTATCGATGATGATGATGATGGGTGCTACTCGGTCGCTGCTGATGCTTTGCTCATGCTTATCGGCGTATCGTCGTTCGGACTCTTTCGACTATCACTGCTCGTCAATGTGGACAGTAGACACGCATATTCCAAAGTTCTCAACATTGTCGCATATTGCGTGGAAAATCCATAGTAGCATGAAACACAGTTAACACCTACAAACACACAACCATCAACACGAAAGGAGAAGCTTACATGATGTCACAACCATGCTCTGCATGAACATTTGTGTGTGCAATCATGGGTGTGTACAGCAAAAACACATATATATGCTACCCCCCCCCATTGACCTACCTTTGTTGGGCGTCTAAGGAGCACCCAATAGCAATGAGTCATGACAAAACAAAAAGAGAGAGACTTGAACTGAAAAACTGCGGTGATAGATATGGGGGTACGGCAAAGAG